CTCGTATGCAAATGGCATTTTTATAAACTCACATAGCTGTAAAATTTGTGTGGCTAGTTCTACCATAATTTTAGGGAGTTTTTGTCTGATTTGATAAATCCTTCAACAATGTTAGGGTATTTAAGGATTGGATGGAGTCTGAAACTAATGGGAAGAGATTTGAAAAATACTGACGCAAAATAGCTGATTCCACTTATATTGTAGTTATCTGTAGATCATCCCGTTTACGACTGTTGTAATAGTTTTATTCAGAGATATTTTTATTTACATGTTTTGTAGAACGCTATAGATATGAAAAGGTCGATTTAATTAGTTTGTTATTAATAAATGCCTGCTTAACATCCTCTTGGAAACCTTTTTTGAGAATCACTCTCACAAGCGTTCTTCGCAAACTGAAAATACGTTTCGCATGTGGGGAGTGACCCCAAACTATCAGACTATAACTGTAGTAGGACATAATAATGAATGATATGCCGTTATTAGAGCACTTCGTGAAACCGTTCCTACCATAGTTCTCGTTAGAGAATATCTTGGTATCCGATACGAAAAAAAATCTGATTGAGATTTTTTACATAATCTCACTCAAAAAGGACCCCTCTTAACGAATCTGCATATTGTCAGGCCCAAAATGTTTTAATTTTTTTGTAAATCTGTAATGACAGCATTAGAATTAGTGTGTTTTCCTTGTAAATTAAATCTATCCAACCTCATGCAATATAGCCAAAAGGTTAAGCTGTCCTTGTGTTTTTACTAACTCAAAAACCAATTGTAAAAAACAAGTTTTGGGAAATAGTTCATTTCGCGTCCTTGACCTCCCTATATAAGCTATTGATAACTAAAATAGTAAATAGATAGGGAGAAAATATGGGATAGAAAAATCTCACATTTCCCCCAATCTATATATAACAAAGGTATTCAGTATTCAGTGAAATTTATGACCCCGGAATATATTAGCCATCCTACAGCCCGATTTGTCTTGATATTTATATTTATACGATTCGTTATCTTAATCAGAAATTAAGCCCCAATTTAACTTGAATGTATTTCTGAATTCATATGGCTATGGCTTATACAGGATGGGCTTCAAATACCAACAGTCATATACTAAAACACCGTATGACCCCACCTTCTTTCTTATATACAGGGTGATTGGAAATTCGATCTATTCCCTGAAAGTGGTGATTCTAGAGGTTATTTGTAATAAATTAATTACCCCTGGAGGTCGGAATTGAGCGGTTTCCGAGATATCGGCATTTCGAGATTATTTAAGAATTTTCTGCTTACTGATCAATACAATCTTTTTTTAAAAAAACTACTCCTTTCTTGGAACTGAATTGATGGTTTTCTGAGAGCTGTGAAACTAGCAAATAATTGAGATAAAAACGCTATACCAAAAGCTTGAAACTGTTAGAAATAAAAGGCTGTTAGCAAAGAGATTTTGATTTTTGTTTATTATTTCCGAAAATCATCATAAGTTATTTGAAATTAAATGTATGATATTCGGCATACAGATTACTAAAATAATTGCAGAATTTGCGTCGTGTTGTGATCTTACTAAACATTGCTGCAAATTGTGTGTTTGTGGAATAGCTGCTTACGAAAATTAAAAATACGCCGACATTATGTATTGCTACGGGTTTTGTAATAGTAACTCTGTTGCAGCACGAAGGGATTACCAAAGTCCTTTCCCTACCGGCGTTTACCTGATACGAGGGATGTCTTTTAAGTTTTGCATATAGAAACTTCGGAGGCCGCGCAGATCGAACGTCAGTACTGAATCTTAACATCACTCTTTAGTAAACTTAAATTCAAAGCTTCACAACAATACTACAGTGAATTTTTAAGCGTCGCCAAGTCATTAGAAAAATGGAACTCAACCGAGAACATTTTCGCGCCATAATTTATTACAACTTTCAGAGACAATTATCGCAACAAGAATACCTTGCTGAGTTACTGTCTGTTTTCGGCAACGAAGCGCCACATCAGTCCACAATTTTCCGTTGGTGGATGGGTGAGTCTTAGCGACGATCCCAGGGTGCGTGCACCAAAAACGGCGGTCACCCAGGAAAACGTCGATGCTGTGCACAAACTCATCATTGAAGATGTGACATGTGACATATCGCGAGATTCGGGCATCCTTGAAGATCTCAGAGAACTCAATTCAAAAAATTTTACATGAAGAATTAGGAGTAAGAAAATTAGTTTCTCGTTGGATACCCCACCTATTGACTGAAGAGCAGAAAGCAGCCAGGGTTAATTGGTGTCAAAAAACGCTTGACCGTTTCAATTCCGGAAACTCAAAAAATGTATACAGCACTGTTAGTGGTGATGAATCGTGGATTTACTTTTATGGGCAGAAAATAAACGACAGTCGGCTGTTTGGGTGTTCCAAGGTGAAGAAAAGCCAACAAAAGTCATACATCGAAGTGTTTCGAAAAAGATGGTCGCGACATTTGTGTCAAAAGCCGGTCATATTGTAACAATTCCTCTCACTGAGCAAAGAACTGTTATTGCGGATTGGTATACCACCATTTGTTTGCCAAAAGTCATCACCGAGCTTCGAAAAATCAGCCCCGAAAGAAGAATCATCCTCCACCAAGACAATGCAAGCTCGCACACAGCCCAAAAAACAAGGCAGTATTTAACGGAAGAAAACGTGGAATTATTGGATCATCCTCCATAAAGACCCGATCTAAGTCCTAACGATTTCTTTACTTTCCCGAAAATTACAAACAGACTGCGTGGTCAAAGGTTCCAGTTACCAGAAGAAGTAGTTGACGCATTCAAAAATGCCGTTTTGGATCTGCCAGCAAACGAGTGGAATAAGAGCTTCGAAAATTAGTTCGACCGCATGTAGATAAAGTCAGTTAAAACTACCTTCTTTGTTGTTTTTCCATATGCAAAACTTACACGTATAAGCGTGTTTGGTACTACTTACCGTCGCATTCGAGAATCTGGCTCGGTACATCTACGACAAATAGACGCTGACAGACCTGCCGTCCGTAATGCTGACGAAGAAGAAGAAATTTTAGTGTTTTCGGGCAGACCCCACTGTGTCAACTAGACAAGTGGCACGGCAACTTGGCATATCCCAATGGAAATCCTGGTTTATTGCTCATACAGCGCAACTTTATCCATACCATTACACTCCAGTGCACGCTAAGGAGGAGGGCAACTCTGCACGAAGGATTGACTTTTGTAGATTCTTAATTCATGCCGATATTGAAAACCCAGACTACCTCAAAAATATCCTTTGGACTGATGAATCGAAATTCGATCGTGATGGTATTACAAATTACCTCATTGACCACTATTGGGCCCCTAAGCGTCAAAATCCAAAACAATTCAAGGAAGGCAAGCACCAGAGAAGATTCTCGTTAAACGTTTGGATGGGAATTATATAGGGTTGTCCAAAACGGACGCAGGAAAGTAAACGCATATTAAAACAAGAAAGATTGATATTCAAATCAAGTTGTGTACTTTATTTTGAAGGTTCATTTATACCATTTATGTATGAAAAATAATATCGCTCAAATGTTCACCACGCCTGGATTTACAGACGTCCACGCGATGGTCGAAATTTTCAATGACATTTTGCAACATGGTCGGTTCTATGGCATTTATCTCGGCAATGATGTTGTTTTTGAGTTCTTGGAGGGTGGCTGGTTTGTTGACGTAGACTTTGCTTTTCAAATATCCCCATAAAAAGAAGTCCAAGAGAGTCAAATCGCACGATCTTGGTGGCCATGGCACATTTCCTCTGCGCGAAATCACGCGATCACCGAAGAAGGACTGCAATCGATAGATAGTGACGTTGGTTGTATGGCATGTTGCACCGTCTTGTCGGAAATAAACATCGTCCATATCCATTCCTTCAAGTTGCGGCAAAAAATAGTCCTCTATCATCACGTGATATCGCTCAGAATTGACGGTAACGGCGTGCCCGGCCGCATTTTCGAAAAAATAAGGCCTTATGATGCCTTTTGACACAATGCACACCACACAGTCACTTTTTGAGGATGCATCGGCTGCTCTTGATACTCACGGGGATTTTCGTTCGCCCAGATGCGGCAGTTTTGCTTGTTTACCGTCCCATTCAAAGTGAAATGCGCTTCGTCGCTGAATATGATTTTTGATGAAAAATTGGCATCAATTTGGCGGTGTTCAAGGAGCCAATCTGAGAACGTTCGGCGCGAAAAATGGTCGGCCCGACGCAGCTCTTGCGTCAATTGGATCTTGTAGGCGTGTACATTCAAATCCTTGTGGAGAATGCGGAGCAAACTGGTTCTCGAAATGTCCAATTCTTGGCATCGACGCGTTGTTGATTGTTTCGGATCGTCTCTCACACTCTCCTTCACAACAGCAATATTTTCCGGTGTGCGAACGCTCCTTGGCCGGCCAGAGCCTGGCAGATTTCCCACAGAACCTGTTGCCTCGAATTTACGACCAGACGACCGATGATTGTTTCGTTTGGGCGGTTGTTGCGACCGAAATGTTCACGAAGCGCGCGAAACGTGTTTTTTATTCTTGCACCATTTTTGTAGTGCTCTTGAATAACTTTAATGCGGTCTTCAATCGAATACGACTCCATAGCGATCAATGGTAAACATTCAACTAACAAAATGACATGTCGGTGACAGAAAACAAAGATGGCGTCTATGTCAAATTGACGTTTACTTTCCTGTGTCCCTATTGGACAACCCTACATAATAAATTTAATTTAAATGGCATCACTTATGAAAACTTTTTAAGAAATGAAGTACATGCATTACTAGAAGATGTTCCGCTAGCTGGGAGAATCAATATGATATACCAGCATTATGGCTGCCCAGCCTATTATTTTCGAGGTGTATGACAGTGGCTGGATGAAAACTGTCCGCCGAGATGGATCGGTCGAGCAGGCCCAACGCCGTGGCCGGCGAGAAGTCCGGACTTGACGCCTTGCGATTTTTACATTTGGGGTCACATGAAACAATTAGTGTACAATACATTCGTTGCAGGTATGGAAGATTTGAGGCAGAGGATTTTGGCAGCCACCGACGAGATGAAACGGACTCTTTCAACAAAAGTGACAGTGACCCAACTACGTCGTAAGCTACGTGCTTGCATACGTAACAATGGCAGGCAATTTGAACAAGATTTATAGTTTTTAATTACCAACGTTGTGTTTGTTCCATTAATTCTTTATAAAGTACATGTTTCTCTTTAATTAATTAGATTTCAAACTTTACCGAGCTCATTTAATTTAAAAATTTAGTTGTACCTACAGTACCCTTTGTACGGTTTTTTTAGGATATGCCTGAAAAATTTAAATTTATACTGTCTTTGAAAGCTCATGAAATTCTGTAACTATATATTTTCGTAATTTGTACGCCGACAGTCATACATTTTATTCCAAATAACTTTTCGGAAATAATAAACAAAAATGAAAATCTCTTCATTAACAGCCTTTTATTTCTAACAGTTTCAAACTTTTGATATAGCATTTCTATCTCAATTATTTGCTAGTTTCACAGCTCTCAGAAAACCATCAATTCAAAAAATTGTATTGATCAGTAAGCAGAAAATTCTTAAAAAATCTTGAAATGCCGATATCTCGGAAACCGCTCATTTTCGACCACCAGTTGATGGGAATTAATTTATCACAAATAATCTCTAGAATCACCACTTTCAGGGAATAGGTCGAATTTCCAATCACCCTGTATATATATATAGAATTTGAGAAGAAAATTGTGATAACCTGTTTTACGATGGAATTATATTCTTGATGAGAAATGAAATGCCCTAGTAGTTCTAGAAGAATTTTGCTGAGCATATTTATTAAACGTCAAATTTGGAAAAATCACATCTTCGCGGATATCTAAATAGTGATGAGAAGTTGTAGGAGATGAAAATACCATCAAAATGAGACCTTACACGGCTAATTTGCCGTTATGGTTAATTTGTTATTGGGAAAAAATGCCGAAAATCGTCGATTTCTACATTTATCGTTTACCTGAAAATGCAAGACAGTAAATCTGAATTAATAGTTTAAAATTGAAGGCTTTGTGATGCTTCCTATCAAAAAAAATGTTATTAAAAATGCTCAACAGCTTCTACATATTTCAAGTTGTTACTATTATCGTTTTTTTTTTTTTGAGAATAAATGCCTCTGTTGGCGAGCTGACCAGCAACTTGAGTTCAATCAAATGACCTCATAATATGTGTTTATGCAAGTTCTAGAATATTATACGCGGTGAACTCATTTGAATTTAAAAAAGCCATAGAAATTCTAACCTTTTCGCATTTGCGCATATAAGCAAAACATGCGCACGAGAAGACGAAGCATCGAACCAACTCGATAAGATTCGGAAAGCAACAGTCAATTTTCAAGATCTACCAAAAATCTTAGTTAACCCATTCATTCGATACGGAACTAATATAATGCTAAGCATCAAAAACTTACTAGTCCAATAAAATTTCAATTCGAGAAATACGAAGATAGGATCTGTATTGGTTAAAAGGCTTACTTGTAAATATCTAGGAATAATAATAAATATTTCGAAAACACTTGCAGCTACGTAAAAGGATGCCGAACAACATAACGTTAGAGCCGGCCCTGATACATTGAACCCACGTTTTCGTGTGAAATAATACGGAGCGAGAATGTTTCGACCTTTCTTTGACATGAACCTTAATAAATATGAACAAGGGCAACCGCCAAGCCCTTTATTTCATCCCTTTGGAAACCCGTTCTACACTTCAGGATCTAACTAGAGGAATTTTGATAAATAACACTGATACACGGAGGAAGTGTCAGATTTCGATACTTCAAGGAGAAGGTTTTGATGCGTTAGATAACTTATGATTTAGTTATGGTTTAGTTATGGTTCTGGTTTCATAAGACACAGTTATCACAGCATTGTCACCGAATGCAACTGCTAAGCAACTGGAAGCATTCTGAGGTTGAGGTCATAGACCATGCCCTTTGTAAGCTGAATTGTCAAAGAGTCGTAGTATTACCATAGGATGATAAATTCCTTCTACTCATAGTAACAGCCATCGAACTCAAAAACACAGACGCGGCGGCCTAGTCACCCGCATCGTTACTTCATCAGTGCTGCCCCTCCCTTGTCGACTTCGTTTGTTGACTTCAAAACTATAATACGAGCTCACAGCAGTATGAGTTTCCGAATCAATAAACGATTATTTTCTTTAAATTTCTGTACTCTGAGTTGATGTATACGCATCTGGTTATGGCCTATGGTTTCTTATAAGGTCACTAAAAAAATTAACAGTTGACATTGCTAGAACACACTTATTAGAAGTATCTAGGAATCACGAAAATATTAATACCTACTTTTTAGTTGTAGGGGAAAGTCCGATATATTTTATAGGTTTTCAAATTATATCACCTCAATATTTACTGACAAATAGATTTCTAACGCATCCGGTAAATTTGGGCTTTGCAAGGAATAGACCCATAAGAGGGCAATTATGAACAGTATATTTTTTTTATATCATTGGCAACTTATTTGATATCGACGTAATACTCATTAAAATTATTCTCAAAACATGTTCTTAAGTAGATTATTAATTTGTTCCTTTCATTTATTCAGTAAATTAATGAATAACAGCTGTTTATTTGTTATAGTGACGGTCCACCCTCACGAAAATTAAGACACATGAAATAACTGAATAAATCTTTAATTGCAAGGAAAGATACAATCATGCATTGCATTTAACATTGTACGCGTGATCACAAACGTTCAGTTTCTCGTTGAACAATGTTCCATCTGGACAGTCGAAGAGAAAAGGCCTTCCATTGGCGCATTCACAAAACTGATGACAGTCTGAGACTGCACGGTATACTGGTGTTCTTGGGTCGACAACAGGACATTCTGGAAATCAAAATAATGCTCATACTGTGGAAGGATACAAATATTAATTGTACTCTTTCAAGTCTTCTAGAAACACTTGTTATTAAAACCTTTCCATCAAAAATTGTTTCTTTTAGGCCCGATTTTACTAATCCGGGACACAGAATTGAGTTATCTGCATTCAAATTAAACTTGAGATTTCTGTAAGGCCACGGCAACGGGGTATTTCCCATCATTTTTTTTTCAAGGATTATGAATATATTTTGCATCAAAAGGTATATTTCCTGTGTTTCAACTATTTGGTGGGGCTTCTATAAATTATAATGTAACGTAACGTTGACAGTTTAACGTGAAGTGTATGGTAATCAATTCATATTGGATGTGGCTCTACTAGAGAATAGATCAGAAGGTTTAAATGTATGAGTTTTGAATACTTTTTTACGAAACACACAAGCAAAAAAACGATTTCTATTCTAGATAAAACTCTATGTCTTTCTGACCAAATGAAACTCCATATGCAGAAATTTGGTATTTTTCATTATTTTTCTGAAAAAATACTTTGAAAAAGGCTACGGTACTGGCCGAAACGTCAACATACGTGGTTTAATCTTGCCAGAAATACATATAGTTCCATCAGAATGAAAAGTAAGTTATTGGTGTTAAATTATTCTATTCAGTTATTAAACAACAGTTTGATAGGTCCTAAATAATCGTCAGACTCGCATTGCTACGGCATACGGTAAGAGTTGCATGAGTAATCAAGCTACGTCAGAATTGTTTATGAATTGCTGGATATTATATTTTAAGTTTTAGACAACGTTAAAGATACGCCAAAAACACTATCAGAATAATTTATAACGCACTGTTCCATGTATCTCCGCCTCAATTTTACTAAAAGCAAGCTCAAGTGGAGGAGAGCGCTGAATAGCAAAGCCCGCTGACATAGCGGTAGAAGACAGCCAGATTGCTGTCGGCCCGTCAGTGCAAAAAGGTCCCGAGACAGTCCGTTAAAGGGGTTCTCTGTAAGACAACACAGTCCTCCTCTAAACAACATAATGTAGTTGGTGCGGCAGCACCCCAAATACATGAGTCAAGTTTTCTTGTCTTCTGAATAAATCGGGTATGATATCCATATACCTATATGAAGTGAAGAAACTCAAGTTGACAAAACATTTTCAACTTACTAATATGTTCTTTATGACACGCATTGACCTCTGTTCCTTTGTCATCGAAACGATCCGTTGTAGCTTTTTCTGTAGTAGTACGATTGGTGTCACAACCAGCTTGACTTGGCCAATCACAAACGTTAATTATAGAATTGAAGTGAAGTCCTCCAGGACAGATTTTCAAGAAAGGCCTTCCGTTAGCACACTGACAGAATTTGGAACAGTCCGAGATTGCTTGGTAGGCAGGTTCGTTCCAATGGCACACTAAAAAGAAGGAAAATAGTATATTACATACCCAGAGTAAGAACTAAGCCAATACCGAGTGGATACAGTTTATAGGGATCTCTTCACAAAATGGGATTACACAAAGTCAATTTTTGTAATTTACTAAACGTTTTTTGAACACGTATGATTTTAATTAATTTCTCAATGCAAAATTCCTTGTTCCCTCTTCTATTGTTACAGGCGATGTATATTGAGGTAATTTGGGATTCTGCATAGCTGTGCTTATCTCGTGCATGTACCTTTTGCAGGATAGTTGATGTGGGCACAGCAGAACATCTGGAAAGCCCCGAATATTGGAAATTTGGAAAAAAGTTATCAAAGATGTGTTTTTGAGTCAAATACTCACAACTTCAAACACTGTTCATGAGCAACATATTACAAGACGGTACTTGAAACTTTTTATCCAAAGAATAGCGCTTTATTCAGTTTTTTTTTTACTTTTTCGCTGCTGTCTTATCGCATACTAACTTTATTTCAAACATTGATTCTGGAAATAAAAATTCCCAACCTGTAGATACCCCTGCATAATTTATAAAAAGATATACATGTATATGTATATACACTTACAAAGTAAAAATATTTCAACACACTTACCAACGCCTTCTTTTAGACATATCTCTGTTCCAATTTGATCGTCACTTGGTGTGGTCGTTTCAGAAGCTTCAGTAGTTCTCGTGACGTGGCTAGTAGTATTGGGAGAAGAAGTAGTTCTTGAACTATGTTGACTAGTTGTAGAGGATGCAGGTATAGTGGTTCTTTTGGGATTCTGACTAGTGGTATGAGGATGAGAAGTAGTGATTCTTGTAGCATTTTGGCTAGTGGTTCTCGGAGCAGAAGTAGTGGTGTTTTGTCTGGAAGTAGTCACGTTTTGATGAGAAGTGGTGTAAGCACTTGCAGTTGTTCTTGTGGTGTTCTGCCTGGGAGCAGCACACCCAGCATGTTCAGGCCAGTCACATGCGTTCAAAGTTGGATTCCAGTGAAGGTTGCTAGGGCAATTACGCACGTATGGAACTCCGTTAGAACACTCGCAAAATTGAGTGCAATTGGGGTGGGGTCGGAAGACTGGGTGATCACTGTCACTTTTACACTCTAAAACAAAACAAAAATTATGAATGTATTATGTATGTGTATATGAAGTGAAGAAACTCAAGTTGACAAAACATTTTCAACTTACTAATATGTTCTTTATGACACTCATTGACCTCTGATTCTTTGTCCTCGGAACGATCCGTTATAGTTTTTTCTGTAGTAGTACGATTGGTGTCACATCCAGCTTGACTTGGCCAATCACAAACGTTAATTCTAGAATTGAAGTGAAGTCCTCCAGGACAGGTTTTTAAAAAAGGCCTTCCGTTAGCACACTGACAGAATTTGGAACAGTCCGAGATTGCTTGGTAAGCAGGTTCGTTCCAATGGCACACTAAAAAGAAAGAAAACACTATATTACATACCCAGAGTAAGAACTAGGCCAATACCGAGTGGATACAGTTTATAGGGATATAATGGATCTCTTCACAAAATGGGATTACACAAAGTCAATTTTTGTAATTTACTAAACGTTTTTTGAACACGTTGTATGATTTTAATTAATTTCTCAATGCAAAATTCCTTGTTGTTACAGGCGATGTATATTGAGGAAATTTGGTATTCTGCATAGCTGTGCTTATCTCGTGCATGTACATTTTGCAGGATAGTGGATGTTGGCACAGCAGAACATCTGGAAAGCCCCGAATATTGGAAATTTGGAAAAAAGTTATCAAAGGTGTGCTTTTGAGTCAAATACTCGTAACTTCAAGCACTGTTTATGAGCAACATATAACAAGATGGCACTTGAAACTTATTATCCAAAGAATAGCTTTTTTTCATTTTTTTTTCACTTTTTCGCTGCTGTCTTGTCGCATACTAACTTTATTTCAAACACTGATTCTGGAAATAATCATTCCCAACCTATAGGGTATCTACCCCTGTATAATTTATAAAAAGATATATATATATATATATAAGTTATGTACCAGTCTACAGAGAAGAATATGCTGAACAAGGACTTTTGCCTCCACGTTCCTTTCTTATCAGTTACAGTATTGTATTTCATTTGTTCTTTACTTTGGTTTGTATAATGAACTTTGCAGTCAGTCTCGATTCAGAACTCATTCAATTAACATCATTGTATTTGGTCTTTCTCAAAAATAAATCTTTTTAAAAACGTTTTCGTTGAAGAAAGATATTTGAGTGGCGCAGTCAGTAGGATTTTTCGTCCTCATGAGCGATCCTAGAGGTTCCTTTAAACCTTTTAGAAATACTCTTAATGCTACGCTTTTGCAAAAATTACATATTATCTGAGCTTCTTCACTCACACAATGTGTAGTTAAAAATGATATTTGTAAATTCAATAAACTCTGAACTTTGTTATAAAATTCAAAGGGGGTTTCATTGTTCTGTTTCAATTCACACAATTCTATATTTAGAGTAAATACGTCACGCTTGTCTTGATATGTATTTAAAAGTGCAGTTTTCAAGTCTGTCCAATTTTTTATAATATTGCTACTAATATTTAAAGCTGCATTACCTTTGATTTTCGCTAAAATACTACTCATAAGATATTCGTTCTGGAAGTCATTTTCATCCTCTAATCTATAAAATTTATTCACTAACTTTTCGCAAATATCTATGAATCTTGGTAATAATTCTTGTTGACCATAAAATTCGGGTATCATGTTAAGATACTCTGGGCGTAATGACATGCTTGATTGATTTACTTGACTGTTGTTCATATTGACTGTACTATTTAGTATACTAGGTCTTAATTGCAAATTCCTTAAACTATGTTGGATATGTTCCGTATCCGACTGTGAGTCCGAATCAGTGTCACTCAATATATCATCAAACAGCTTTTGATTGTTTTCACCCCTGTAAGACATTCGTACTTACAGTAGTAATCCAATCCGTCCCATGTGTCCGTATGCCTGGGCCACTGCTGGGTTGCCTGTCCTGGAGCAGATGTTCCTTCTGTCCTCTGGGCTGCTGTCGTCTTGGTTTCTCGATTTGGGTAGGGTTCTATCCCAAATCTGGTTCCGGTGATCACGGTAACGATATCGATATTCCGTCGGATCGTTCGCGACCAATCGCGGTTGGTTTCGTTATAGCCAGTAAACCGTTGAAACGAACCGAAAATGTCCTTTTTTCGTCTGGCTATCCTACTGGATTGACTGCGCCACTCAAATATCTTTCTTCAACGAAAATGTTTTTAAAAAGATTTATTTTTGAGAAAGACCAAATACAATGATGTTAATTGAATGAGTTCTGAATCGAGACTGACTGCAAAGTTCATTATACAAACCAAAGTAAAGAACAAATGAAATACAATACTGTAACTGATAAGAAAGGAACGTGGAGGCAAAAGTCCTTGTTCAGCATATTCTTCTCTGTAGACTGGTACATAACTTACAGACTTGAATGAAGCTCTGAATATATTAACTAACGACTTTCAGCTTGATCATAAGGTAGATAAACATAAAAATGTTAATCGAAATAATATGCAATTAGTTCGCCATATGAACAACAACTTTGGTAATTATAGGAATCAATACCAAGCGGTACAGCGTCCAGTATTACAAAGACAATTTAGTCCTAACAATGTACGACCAAATAATCCTAATCAGAATAGAACGAATTTTCACAATAATAACGTTTTTAGACCTAATCAGATCAATAATCTGACAAGGCCTACTCCGATGAGTACATCCACTAGACAGACGTATCAGCAACAAAATTTTCAAGGTAGAAATTTTAACAGACCTGGTGTCAACGCAGAACAGGCTATGTTTAACTTGTGTGTACAAGACCAACCTGTTGTAGAATTTCCAAATGATGACAATTACGAATGCGCTTATTCTCAGAATAATTCTGACGATTTTTTATGGCAAGAAGCCTCGGAACAGAGACAACCACAAGTCTCAACGGACCACCCAAGTCAATAGAAATTATGAGTTTAACCGACAAATGTAGCAAACTACCATACATTGTATTTCCGGAGTATAATCTCAAAGTATTGATTGACACTGGAAGTACAAGATCTTTCATACACCCTGAAATTGCGAAAAAATTATTTTCAAGACATATTCAAAAAGACCCATTTCAAATCACTTCAGCACATGGTTCATCTATCGAACAATATAGTATGACAATACCTTGTCCAAAGATTTTTAAGAATCCAAATATTCTCATGAAATTTCATTTATTCAAGTTTCACGAACATTTCCAATGCCTTTTAGGAGTCGATAACCTGAAAGAGATACTGAATGCCAACATTGATTTGAGCAATGATCTTTTAGTCACACCCACAACAAGGATACCCATGCAATATCACGAGATTACAAAAAATTCTTCTAATGTTATCACTGTTCCACCTAGAACAGAACAGATAATTAAGGTTAACATAAAAAATTTAAAAAATGGTAATGCTATTATTCCATACAGAAAATTATCATGTTTAGAAATCCCTGAATGTCTTACTACAGTGAAAAATCACGAAGCAATTTGCACAGTATTAAATTTATCTGAAGAACAGATTTCTCTTGACATATCTCGACCAATAGATGTAGAAAATTTTGAAAATTACGAATTTTCAGAAAATTCAGATCCACCGAATATTAATTCTTTGAACTTTCAAAAATATAAATTTGATATTTCCAAAATTAGGACAGAGCATATGAACATATTCAAAAAGACCCATTTCAAATCACTTCAGCACATGGTTCATCTATCGAACAATATAGTATGACAATACCTTGTCCAAAGATTTTTAAGAATCCAAATATTCTCATGAAATTTCATTTATTCAAGTTTCACGAACATTTCCAATGCCTTTTAGGACTCGATAACCTGAAAGAGATACTGAATGCCAACATTGATTTGAGCAATGATCTTTTAGTCACACCCACAACAAGGATACCCATGCAATATCACGAGATTACAAAAAA